ATAAACATCCATTGGATATCACTTAAGACCCTAAAAACTAAAATAACAAAAAATTAACAATAATGAAACATTTAAATTCAGTTTACTAATGATTACTATGTGCTTCAATTTTAGCATTAGATGCAACTGATGATGTAATACTGATTTAGGGAGCTATGAGAGCTTTAATTTATGCAGCAATTGATTAGCACGCAACTAAGTTGATATCATCTCAATAGGCAACAACAAAATATTTTCATTTTTCTTCAATCAAAGCACATTTTTTAGAATTAAAGTGCTAAAAATAAATTAAAATATTGTCACCTTATGAAGCACTCTTTAAATAAATTCTTCATTAGAAAAAAAAAATTGTAGTCAATAAAATACAATACCATAGAAGGGGATGGGTCTCCAACTCATCAGTTGTCTAACTCATTACTTTCGAAAAAAAATACGTTCATCAATTTAACTTGATAAATTTTGATGCATATTTGTGTCCTATTAACATAAACTAACTAAAAGATTGTTTCAGAACATTTTAGAATTCAGTTACAAAAATAAAAAAAAATATTTATGTAAAAAAAAGTATAAAAATACATCCTTTTTTAAAACTTCAGAAGCAGAGCCTTGTTTTAAAAAAATTTAATTTTAAATGATCTAAAGAAGTCAAGTTTTTAATACATAAAAATGTTAAAGGAGGAATAGGACGGGCTGGAGCAAGTGTCTTTTTTTATTATCTACAACTTTCTTTTTTTTCAGTAACTGTGAAATGTCAGTTTCTGAACTTAAATATACAAATTTGTGATAATATAAATTTCTATAAAATACTGAAATAGTTAACCAACATCATGATATGATGATGATCACTATCTAAACTACATATGCTCATCATTATCACGTATATCATATCATCATCGCAATCATCATGATCATCACCTGGTAGGACAAAGGCTTTTCTGAAATTTGTTTATTTCTAAATTTATCAGGTGTATATATCTAGCCAAAACATGTCTTGAATAATAAAATGTTTTTAAATAAAATTAAAAAATTTGTCTTTTTTTAAAAAGTAATATCACAAATTGTGTTGAAAAGAAGTTTTGGTTATATATATATATATATATATATATATATATATATATATATATATATATATATATATATATATATATATATATATATATATATATATATATATATATATATATATGTATATATATATATTCTAAATTATTCTATTTTGACTCTAGCCATATATGCTAAATTGGTTAGAAAGAAGGTGGAAACTGCCTGGTTAAATACTATTCCCTAGTTAATAACTCTAGCAGAACAAGGAATTACTTTAGTTTTTATATAATTAATAAATTTATAAACAAAACTTGTATAACTTATAAAACAAGCTGCTACACAAGCTGAGGCAGTGTATAAAGTTTTCTGGCTTATTTGTGAGAAAAATATTAAAATGATTTTTGAAGGAACAATAACAACCAATGAACATTGTAAGACTTTAAATAATCAAAATATAAACCGTTTTTCAAATTTTGATATTAAGGTTTAAATAGTTTCATGAAAATATTTTTCATAAATTACAGCTAGAAAAAAAAAAGAAGAAAAAGATTTGTATTCAAAGTTACCCCGCTATTCAAAGGTTTACGGTACGTTTGATAATAATTTAATGACATGTTTGTTAATAGTTTTTTGTCTAGTTTTATCGGCTTATAAATACTTGTTCAAAGTTTTCAGAAAGCTCACTCAAGAACTTTACTGAAAGTTCACTCAAGAACCTGACTTATTTCTTATATGTTGTGACTTGAAAGGTAGTTTGGAACATACTTACCCTTAATTTCTAATGAAACAGCTATTAAAACATTATAAATTAACTGAAACTAAACTATCTGAAACAGCTATTAAAACATTAAAAATTAATAAAGGTCCAGGTATCGACAATATCCCAGCCAATATAATTTTGAATGTCTTCCCAGAAATAAGTAAACCCATTTTTCAAATATTTAACTCTTCAATAATTACAGGAATTGTACCCGACTATTTAAAAATAGCTAAAATTATTATAAATCCGGAGATACATCCTCCTTAAATAATTACAGACCAATATCAATCCTTCCCGTATTTTCAAAACTGCTCGAACGAATAATCTACAATCGAACGAATAATCTACAATTTATATAAATACCTAACCATAAACAAAATCCTGAATGAAATCCAATATGGTTTTCAAACTCAGCACTCGACAGAGCATGCTATCGTAGACCTCGTCAATAGGATTAGTGAATCAATCTATGAAAAGAAGTTCGTATTAGGTGTCTTTGTAGACTTGTCAAAAGCGTTCGACACAATAGATCATGAAATCCTACTAAAAAAGTTGGAAAAATACGGATTAAAAAATCATACACTGCAGTGGTTTAAAAGTTACCTATATAACAGACAACAGTGTGTTATTACAGATGATAATTACCACAGTAAATTATTCAAATTAACTTGTGGTGTTCCTCAAGGTTCGATTCTTGCTCCTCTTTTGTTCCTAATCTATATAAACGACCTTCCAAAAGTTTCTAGCAAACTTGAATTTATAATGTTTGCAGACGATACAAATTTATTTTACTCTTCGACAAACATCAAGGATCTGTACGATAATGTAAACATAGAACTCCAAAAATTAAATATATGGTTTAAAACAAATAAGTTATCCCTAAACATAGAAAAAACTAAATACACTTTATTTCATTCAAACCAACAAAAAAACACACTACCAAATACTCTACCTTCTCTAAAAATAGAAAATATAGTAATTGAGAGAACTCACGAAACTAAATTTTTAAGATTTATAATTGATGAAAATTTATCTTGGAAAAGTCACATAAATGCTTTAAACACTAAAATATCAAAGAACATAGGTCTACTTTATAAAGCAAAGCCTATGCTGTCGCAAAGTAATTTAAAACTTATATATTTCTCTTTCAAACATAGCTACCTCATATATGCGAATATAGCTTGGGCGAGTACGCATATAACCAAATTAAAAACTTTATATCGACATCAAAAACATGCTGTAAGACTAATCCACCGTAAAGATAAATTTACACACGCTGAACCCTTATTTAAAGAAATGAATGTGCTTAACATTTATCAAATTAACATTTACCAAAATATATTGTTTATGCTAAAATTTAAATTAGGTCAAGTACCAAATCATTTTTTAAATAACTTTTTTATAAATAATGTTAATAAATATAGCACAAGAGAAACAGGAAACTTTATTACACCTTTCAAAAAAACAAAACTTTCCGACTTTTCAATTTCATATCGGGGTCCTTATTTATACAACAAACTAGTTACTAAAAATAAATCAATTTACAATTCAGATAATCAAAATTCCTTGAAAACAAAGTTTAAAAATCTGATACTGAATCTAAACAGATACTTTGAATATTTCTAAAACTATAAATTAAATATATATTAACTACAAAGTGAATGGACTCGTTTATGAGTATTATTTAAATGACTCTTACCTTTCTCAAACAATATATCAAAAGTTGTTTATTACACACAAAAAAAAAAACTTGATTTTTTCTTATCAATTTTAGTCATTATGCTGCTTGTTATGTCTAATATTTTATACTGAGCTTATTTTGAGTTTATTTTTTATTATGAGCTTAATTTAAAGAATATAAAAAAATAGTTGTACTTAATATATAATTTTATTTAACATAATCATAATATATATTAAACACATTGTAAGGGCTTCGTGATAAGATCATTACGATCTTCTTGAAGCCCGGCCTGTACCATTTAATTATAAATTTCACTATATATTTTGACTCACGACTCTTGTAAATATTACAACTTTTAATTTACGAAACTTGTAAATGTTATATGTACGGCAAATAGAAAAAAAAAAAAAAATTTAAAATAGTGACTGTGTGAAATGGAGATGGGACGCTTAGAAAGACATGTCATGGTAGGTTTAAATCTTTTATCAAACAAAATTAAAGTTGACGTTAACTTAAATTCTTTTCATGACATGACCCAAACCAATTTTGTATATACCGGTTTTTAAATAAGGAGTTTAAACAGAGACAACACACACATGTCTGTATGTATATATAAAACTCTTTTAATGACTTTCTTTACTTATAAAATGATGATTTTTATTTCTCATTTTGTATTAAATTTTAAGTGTTTGTCTTGTTACTACATTTTTTTTGTGTGAAGTTACATATCGAATTTTGATATTTAAGGACAGTTTGTTCACTTGATTGCATTTTATTATTTTTATTTTAATTTAGGAAATCAATTTTTTTTTACTTTTAATTCAATTTCATTGAATTTTATGAACTTTTAATTTTAATTTTTTACTTTTGTATGGAATGTATTTTTTCAATAACTTACAATGAATGCAGTGAATATATTTTCAATAGCAAACATACAATTGTCAGAAGGTATTTAATTTAATGAAGGTAACGTTCACGAGACTAAGTGATAAAATCAAATTTGAACTCTACTTACCTCGGCCACGAGAAGATTTAAAAATCATTTTCTTTTGCAAACGTGGATCCCTGGAAATTTTTAAATTAATGCCAAGTACATCAAAAAAGTCAGCAAAAATATTTATGTTGTATAGTTATAACAAATGTAAATTAGTGAGCTTTTACAAAAAAAACAGTAAAAATGAAGAACACTATCAATAACACAAGAACGCTACCAATAACACAGTTACTATCAATAACACAGTTACTTACAATTACAAAAATTATAAATAAATGACGTTTTAAGTTAGTCTCTTACATTGATACCGCTTTTTAATATTTACCGTTTTAATCGTAAAAGCTCAACCTTAAAAACCCATAAAATTTGTGTACTTTTTACGTCACATTTTTTGTTCCATTTCTGCTTGGCGCAAACGATTGTTTAGTTGCATTTGTGAACTTTTATTATAGATTTGTACATCCTTACCGTAAAGTTGTATTGTACTAGAAAGTTGTACATAAAAAGAAATTACTACTTAGTATAGTAAATATTTTTTTCTTTAAAAATTTTATAAATCGGCAAAAAAATCGTTCTCTTTTTTAGATGACTCTTCTAACTTTCGCTTTCTTTGTGTTTTTTTTTGCTTTATAGGTTCACACGTTTCTTCTTGCAAGTGTGAGACGTCCCAAAACTTAATTGTAGTTTCACTCGAACTGCCTAGTAATAGCTTATCAGGAGAATACTTAAGGTTTTCAATTCCAAAACTTCCATGTTTACCAATGATACCAACGGCACGATGAGGCTGAACATAAAAAGCGCTACAAAAAAAATATTTATATATATTAAATGCTTCTTAAATACAAAGAAATTTGTACCAGTAACTTTTTACCTTATGACGCCATCACCTGAACCAGTACATATGACATCATCAGTTATAAGACATATACTGTCTATTCCATCACCTAGATCTGGTACGCGATCACTAATATCCCCCCATTCCCCCCATGAGAATATAGACAAAGATCCACTTGAAGATCCGCAAACTACCTTTTGTTTATTCTAAAATGAAATAAATAACTTAAAACAACCACTAAACCATGCTACAGATAATCAATCGTGAGAAATATAACGATTTATTTTTATATAATTTATTTTTATCTTTAATAGATTATATTCGTATATCATATAAAAATGTTTTATTAAAGCAAAAAGTAAAATTAATGAAAAATATTTAATAAAAAACATACCTTTGCTATCTTAACAGATAACAGTTCGTCGTCTTGTTGATCAGACAATCCATCTATTTTTTTTTTTCTTGTATTGAAGACAGATAGTACACCATCTCCGCTATAAATTTTAATTAGGATACATAATATAAATCTGCATTACCATAGTAACTATCTCTTTTGCTGATAAATTTAATTAAAACAAATTAATAAAAAAATTTCAGGTCCAACTGTTAGGTTATAATTATTCCAGGTCTAACTATTATTTTAGGTTCAATTATTAGGTTATTATCATTTCAGGTCCAACTAATTGGTTGTCGTTATTCCAGGTCCAACTGTTAGGTTATTATTATAACAATTTATATATTTTATAGTTATTTAAAAAAGATTATAAGATATTTAAGAAATGGAGAAAAAAGACAATCAGATTAAATTATATGAATTGATAAAGTAATAAAATAAAGGTTTTCTTGTTGTTGTTTTTTTTAATTTAAAACAAACCTAAATTAATAAAACTGATAGAGAAAGTTGTTTGATGGCATAATTGAAATCGCAATCAATAACTATCATCTAGAAATAAAAAAAAATTAGATTTATTAGACATTTATTTCCTCTATTAGATCTATTAGACATTTATTTCCTCTATTAGATCTATAAGACATTTATTTCCTCTATTAAATCTATTAGACATTTATTTTCTCTATTAGATTGGAACATTTTCGACTCAAATTTATTATAATGTATAGTGTAATTTCTTCCAAACCATTTTAAATTTTATATAGTTAGATTAAATCACCTGTCAATCTTCGCGTATAAAGATCTATAATATTTAGACGTTTCAACCTTTCGTCGTATGTCAAATTTCTCAACAAACAAACAATTCTAGTAGACCGATTTTGCACTCTTTCTAAAGCTTCAATTTTACTTTTGAAGTAAGAAGACCAAATGGGCACTAGAAATTCAATAAGGGACCAAACAAATGTTGTATATAATAACCTAAGCATATTAACACATATAAAATGTTGTATATAATAACCTAAGCATATTAAATAGAATGATGGGGTTGTTGAAAAAAGTCCCTATCATTTTATTTGCTTTTGAGGTACAAGCCATTATATGATCTTACCATTTCAAATCTGAAAACAAAATTCCAAGATCTCTTTCTAAGTTTGTTTTTCTGAGTGATTGCCCGTCCATAGAATATTCGTACTTAATATTTTTTTTACCTAAATGCATTACTACACATTTATCAGCATTAAATTTAAAATGCCTCACCTTTGACCATTCAGCAACTTTTTTAAATCTTATTATAACAACTCAGCATCATATCTATCTTTGACCTGATTAATTAATTTTGTATCATCAGCACAAAGTTTCGAGTTACAGTCAAAATGTGCTGCTTGGTCATTAATGAATATTACAAACAAAATCGGCCCAATCCTTGTAACATGCCGCTTGTAATATCTTTCCACTCAGAGACTGCTTCACCTTGTTGTACAACTTGTTGTATTCTATCTTTAAGATACACTTCAAGCCATTTTAGCAGCTTACCATTGATCCCAAACCTTTTAAATTTATGTATCAATCTGCGATGAGGTACTGTATCAAAAGCCTAAAAGGCAGAACTATTTGCAAAGAACTTTTCCTCTAACTCTTTTTTGGAAACTGATAGCCACACTTCTTGTCATCCCAGAGAAATAGATAAGTCCATTGTTAAAAATCAAAATCACTCCTGTTTCTATTGCTAAAATTAAAAACTTAAACTCTTCTACAGCTTGTGGACAAGATTACATGTCTCAGCACTGTTCTATAGAATTATTTAACAAGTAACTAAATCTTAATTTCCTTCTGACTGGAAAATGGCATCTGTGGTTGTGACCTGGAAAATGGCATCTGTAGATTGCTCTTTAGAATAGACTTAGTTTTAGAATTCTTTTCCTTCTTCATGTTTTCTTGATTCAAGCAATTTACAGTTTTTTATACCTTGAGTTGAGTCTTAACTTGGGTTATACACTCAATACTTCATAAAACTAACTTTAAAATATAACTCCAAATTCATATTTTCCTTAAAACATTTACTTTCCCTCTTCAAAAATATGTACTCTTCCCCCACAAAGTTTGACTTGTAAAACTTATCAAGAATCAAAAAAATCAAAAATACTTAAAAAAGAAACTTTTGACAAAAAATCCTTTGAAATTTTTTTAAACAACATCACTGTTATAATTGTTAATTTCAAGCAAACGGAATTAATTTATGGCTTATTCATAATGGAATCTGGAGATTTTTTGATGGAGATGTTTTCTCCATCTTTTATATAGTTGAAATTTATCTTGGGTATGAAATAATGAATTTTTTCACTTTAATTTCCAGTCATTGTATAAAATGTACCGCAACATTTAGATTTTCAAAACATATAATGAAGTTTTTAACTTTAAAAACTCCATTAAATGTAAATATTTTAAAGACACATTTTAAATTTAAATATTGTAAATGCAACTTGTAATTCAACATTGTGCATTCAAAAGTGGGGAAATAACAAGTCGTCAGCCAAGAACCAAAAGGCCATATGTCCACTTTTTTTTTTTTTTTCTGTTTATTATCAATAAATATTTAACAATCAATGGGGTATGTGTCCAATAAATCTAATCTCAAGAATGATACAACTTTTTAGGTTAGATTTTCTTGGAAACACAAAAAATGGACATACAGCCTCTTGTTTCCTTGCTAACGAAATGAAAATTTGCAAAAAAAATTTCTTTCATTTCAAATCTTTATATGTTATTTGTCATCTGCATTACATAGTATACAATCAACAATAGTATACAATCAACAATAGTATACAATCAACAATAGTATACAATCAACAATAGTATACAATCAACAAAAGTATACAATCAACAATAGTATACAATCAACAATAGTATACAATCAACAATAGTATACAATCAACAATAGTATACAATCAACAATAGTATACAATCAACAATAGTATACAATCAACAATAGTATACAGTCAACAATAGTATACAATCAACAAAAGTATACAAACAACTATTGTATACAATCAACAATAGTATACAATCAACAATAGTATACAATCAACAATAGTATACAATCAACAATAGTATACAATCAACAATAGTATACAATCAACAATAGTATACAGTCAATATTATACTACAATCAACAATAGTAACAAAGACTATTCACACTTGCATTGAAATAAAAAATAAATATCAAAAAATTAAAAACTAATATAAAAAATAAAAAATCAGTAAAGCCAAATAGTTGGATTTGTTTATTTTATTTTGAAAAAATTAGAACTCTTATAATAGTTAATAAACTACCTTGTGCAAAGCAAGAATCTTCCTTCTTTATCACATGTCATATCAGATATATACTCTTTGTGCTCTTTATGCTCTGCTATGACATTAAATGTACGAGCATCCCAAATCTAAATCATAAAGAAATATACTAAATCATTAAAATATTAAAACTAAATATTACCTTACCTAAATATTACCTAGTAAAGCATTTTTAGGCTAAAACTAGTCAACTTTGACATAAAAATAAAAATTGATAGGCTGATGTAGGTTCAAAATCACAACTCAATGACATTTTTTATGAATCCTTAGTCTCTTTGTATCCATTATTTCTTCATTCTAAGTTTGTTTTTTTTTATTAATAAAGTAATTTTATCCATAAAAAAATTTCAAGAAAATTTCAAGGTATTTATTTTACTTTCTCCAATCCAACTTGCCATTTGAAAAAAAAAGTATAATATTTAGGACCTGCACATAAACTTTGAAGTTTTGTGCTCATTAGAATTATTTGTCCTTTACACTGCAGTTAAGTTAAACCTAAACTTAAACATGTTTTTCCGTGCAGCAACATTGTTTTTTTTATTTGTTTAACAAGGTATTTCAGAGTATAAGATTGTGAGTTTTAGATTAAATTTTAAAAAAAGTCTCCTCATTGACTGTAGTGGCCCTTTAGAGTTTTGGGATGATAAACTTAATAAAAAAAAATTAATAAAAAAATCACTCTTATATTAACCTATTGTATATTATATTCTAAAATTGTATATATATAATATTGAATCATATATACATTTTCATTAAACAAAAATTAAATATTTATTGACTCATACTAGTATTCAGATAAAATGTGGTAAAACGTTATTTGGTTACTAAGCTTCATAATAGATTTAATATTACAACTACAGGTGCAGATATAAGTAACATTAATTACACACAAAAAAACAAATAATTTTAAACCACTATATAGCTGTCTGGCTTCATGTAAACTAAAAACAATGATGCAACATGTTTTTTAATTCAAATATATAAATTCATAATTTATTTGATCACTATAATAAATGTTTAACATACACAACACAAAATATCAAACTTGAAAAAGCTTGTAAAAATCCTAAATACTATTGTATCTAATTAACTTTTTGATTAGAACAAAAGAATTTTATTTTTTAATTTAAGAGATTGGAAATTTTTTTCTAGAATTTTAATTTTTTTTTAATTACTTTATAAAGATTGTCAATTATTAAATCTTTTCTTTTACTAGTAGAACATAATAATAGATTATTATTAGTAGAACATATTAGGCTATTACAGTTTCTATTACTAGTAGAACATAATAATAGATTATTATTAATAGAATATATTAGACTATTACAGTTTCTTTTACTAGTAGAACATAATAATAGATTATTATTAGTAGAACATATTAGGCTATTACAGTTTCTTTTACTAGTAGAACATTATAATAGATTATTACAATTATTATATATATAAATATTCAAATATTTTTCTACCCTCTTCTCGATTTTTAAGTTACCCTACTTCATAAAGTTTTTCAATTATTATTATTTTTTTTTCTTTACACCATTTTTAAGTCTTGTTCCTTGATGGAAAACATTTTTTTTTATTTACTATATTATCTGGGATAGTATAAAGTTTTATCATGTCTTAAAGTATTTCTTATTTACGTAAAGAATCTTTTTGACAATCACTAAACCACTAAAGTGGCTTTATTTGCTGATTATACAACAACATATTATAATCTTAATTAAAAGTTACCTGTTTTTGACTAGTGGACTAGTCAAACCCTAGACTAGTCACACCCTAGTCTAGGGTTTATTTCTTAAGAAAAAAAAAGTACACCAGAAACGGATTACACTTTCCAAACCACCTTCCCTTGTTCTGTTATGACTTAGATTTTGAAAATATTCTGTCAATATCTAAAAAAATAAAAGGGGGTTAAACAAGCTGGTCCAGAAGTTTTAGTGTTTAAGATAGATAACTTCCAGAAATAGTGCTTTCATAAAATTTTTTAACAATAATACTAATGCAAAATAAGAAAAAATTGTAACGATCAGAGTCTGGAAACAATATTAAACCTAAAATATGGGTCCTTGTGTCCAATGTATGGTTTCAATAAAACAAAAGAAATTTTTTTCACAATACTTTAAACTAGTTAAAATTAATCAACAAATTTTTGTGCTTTCAATATGAACATTTTGTGCTTTCGATATGATTGAATGGAATGATTAGATCATCAGCTAATAATTACAAAAATGCAGAAATAAAATGAAAAAATCAAAATTACTGATCGAGAAGTGGTTGGTGTACTGTGTAGACCAACCACTTATCGATCTACAAGATGAAATAAAGGTTATAAAAGTTCTTGATCTGATGGAGCCAAACCTTTTCAGTAGAAACACTAACAGACTTTTTAATTGTCTTGATTCATATACAAAGTCTATAGAACTTTGTTTTAAAGCAGAAGAGTGAAATGAAAAACTGGTCTTTAAAAGACCGAGGCTTCATGGCGGGGAATTTAAGGGACAATTTTTATTCAAAATTTCTTGATATTATTTTGAACAATTTGATATTATTTTGAACAATTTGAACTCTTTTTCACTAGATAATGATGAAAATAATGATGAAAATCTTTCTTTCATACTACAAACATTTTAATGCTTAAGAGAAGCTAAAGTTAGTTGTTTAGCAATGACTTTAGAACCCGACTACGAAATAAAAAAAAAAGATTATTAAGAAGCCTGCTGTAAACTTGGATTAAGATATCACCTAAAGTACACACTTTAGTAAAACATACAGAAGAATTTTTAAAAATGATATCAAGTGATTATCCAAACATAGGCTATTGGAGCAAAAAAGTCTCTGAATCTGTTCATCATAATTTTAGTCAGTTCTAGGAAAACAGTTACAAGGTATCCAAACATCACAAAAATTATTTGAAAAGATTGCATAAAGCTATTGTTACATATAACATTTATCATACTTTTTTTTCTAAAAGTCTTACTGATTAACTATATATATAATCTATTGTGAAAAGTTAGTTTTTAAATATTTGAAACATATATTAACATGTTAAATATCACTAAAAACCTCAACAACAAAAACTAAAACCTTTTTTTGTTTATCTGAGTGATTGAACCCAACTATATTAAAACTCAATGAACACACCCCTTAATAATGTCCTTAAAACATTTTTGAAATTTTTTTTTTCTCCATATTTATTACAATCAAAATATATTGACAAATTTTAAATTTCATTCCAAAAAAAATATGTTATTTAAAATTTGTGACCTTTCAATGTTATTTTTTGGAGTTAATTGGGGAATAATAAACTATAAATAATAGTAACTTTTTAACAAGAAAAGATTTTTGTATAAAATTTTAAATCTGTCGATTAATTTTAACCTAGTTTAAAATATTGTGAAAAAAACTTTTTTTTTTTTATTGAAACATTGGACACAAGGGCCCAAACTTTAGGTTTAATATTGTTTTCAGGCTCTGAAATTTTATGAAAGCACTATTTTTGGAACTTATCTATCTTAAACATTCAAAATTCTGGACCAGCTCGTTTAACCCCCTTTTATTTTTTCAGATATCGACAAAATATTTTCAAAATCTAGGTCATAACAGGACAAGGTAGGGTGGTTTTGAAAATGTAATCCATTTTTGGTGTACTTTTTTTTCATAAGAAATATTTCTTCTAGGGCATGCTATATAGTATAATAGTATAAAATAATAATAAAAAAAAAAAAAAAATTAAAAATTTAACTTTAAAAAATAGAACACTAAGATGTTTCAAGTTAAAAGTTTTTTTTAACTTATTATAAAATATAACTTCATATCTAGAAATTGTATTTGACTTTTTGTATATCAAGTTATTCTCGACAAGAACTATAAAAAACTATAAATATAATAAACTGCTAACTTTGAAAATTTCATAAAAACAACCTCACTTTCACAACGCCATCATCGCTACCAGAAGCCATGTAGTTTTCTGAAATAATTTCCATACAATTGATTGGTTTTCTAAAAATGTTAAGCAATTTTAAGTAATCAAGTAACTTATAAAATCTTCGTAAATTTTATCTAAATTTCTTAGTCTAAAAATCCAGAAAGAACAGAATTTTTATAATATTTATTTTTTGTCATTACATATTTTAAAAATTAACATGATTTTAATTATATATTTTAAATTATGAGTATAAATTAGGTTGGCCATCTCTTATAAGTTGCCTTCATTGTGTATAAATATTTTGTATAGGACCAATAGGTAACCACTACAATAAAGTAGTGACCAATGGTTCAACTTGTTTAATTCAATGCTTCAATACATTTGAATAACTACTTAAGTAAATTTAATTAAACAACAATTATGAACAATAATTTAACCATTAAACAAAAATTTAATAACATTTATGTCAATTATGAAGAGAATGAAATATAAACTAAACTTTCATCCAACAGCAACAAACTGCTGTAGTAGATTAGTGGTAAGACAATCAAGAGATTTGAACCCATACTTCTAGAAGTACCATTTTGGAAGAAACTCTTTAACCAGTCATTAATATATTCTCATAAATAACCTACGTATTTATATAACTACTAAGATTTAATTTCCTATTGTTGAAACTGAAAATTCTTCTTGTTTATGATTATGGAGTGACCTCAATGTTATCGTGACCTCAATGTTACTAATATATTTTTTTGATTACTTGATTTCTGTTTTATTCAAACATCAATTTATGTAAGAATTTTTAAGATAAGTAAGTATTTCCTTATTAATCAAGTTGAACTACTTTTACTGAAAAAATTGTTTTTAACTTGATTGAACAATTTTTTTTAATTTATACTTTTTATTGGTAAATTTTAACAAGTTAACATTTCAAGTATGGTAATTTGATTTCCTGAACATTGTGGTAGCTCTTAGAGAGACTGATTCTATTAAAAGCTGAAAAATATCAGAGTACTAACAGTAATCAGAGTGCCATGTTGCGCATGAATGGTGTCCCTGTTCGTATTTTTGGTGCGCATTGTCGAGGCCACATTTGAAGCCCCTTGTTACGGCTTAGGGTTTATTAATAGTAATGAGGCAATTGTTTGTACTATTAGATAGAGTACTGAGTATTACCTGTGCTTCGAGTCAAGTTCTTAAACCAATTTAAAAAATTACTACAGAATCAAAAACTATAAAACACAAGAAACCATAGTCATTACCAAGTTCTCTAAATTTATTATTCATTCATTTAATACTCGTGGTCTTTTAAACTTTTTACTGTTGAGTCTTATCTCTTGCAAATTTCACCAGACCTACTTGTCTCATCTTGTGATCTAGTGTTTATAGTTATCTTCCTTTAATTTGTAAAGCCTTTAATAATAGTCCAATGCTTGGCCTGGGCATTTGCATTTGTAATAATTCACACTTTTGTTGAGAAACTTAGTTTAAATCCACTTCACTCTAGAATCTTTCTTTTTGTTCTGTATCACTCTCCTTCATGTCAAGACTGCACTCTTTTCAATTTTATTTCTGATCAAACTGACCTCACCCTTTCTTTTTATCCTTTAGCCAATATCGTTGTTATTAATGAAGTTAATGCTCAGTGTCTAGTGTCAATGACTCAGCAGACATTAAGGCTCACAACTTTTACCTTTCTCAATCTCTACACAAATAGTCAACTTTCTAACAAATTTTCGAGACAATTCGAATCACTTACCTTCTCTACTCAATAGGTGTCTTGTTTCTGATCCTATTTAATGCTCAGTTTATCAACATTCACACTTAGGTGCTTCTTATCATAGTTTAATCTCTCTAAAACTATTATCTCATCCTGCTTCATCATCAGAACTTCCTTATGATTGCACCTCTTACAACTACCTTAAAGCTGACTGGGACTCTTTCCGTGACTTTCTTCATGATTGTCCTTGAGTTGAAATCTTTCATTTTCCTGCTGATAAATGTGCTTCTTATGTAACTTCTTGGATTCAGGCTGGCATGGAACCTTTTATTCTCTCTTGACAATTCCAAGTTAAGCCACAATCTTCCCCAATGTTTTTCTTTCATTGTACTACTGCAATTTAAAATTATAATCATTATTTTCATATCTATTACTAAAACAATTCTTTAGAAAACAGAGGTCTGTTTAATATTTCTAGAAGCCATTGTAAAAAAGTTTCGTCTAACGCCAAAGCCTGCTAATCTCAGGTCACAAAATCTTGTATTTTATCTCAAAAATTAGGCTACAGAGATTTCTGGAGAATCTTTAACAGTATCAATAATAAAAACAAATCTGTTATTCCACCTCTTATGCAGGGTTCAGATTTTTTTACCTCACCTAAAGACAAAGTTGAAAACATTTTATCAATCTCATCTTTTGATTCCAATAATCACATCCTAACTGATATAGCAGACAAAAAGGTGGATAAATTGCTTGACATTTGTATCACTCCAGCTTCTGTATCTAAAGTGATTTACTACTTAGACTCTTCTACAGCTTTTAGTCCAGACAACATACCTATTATAGTCTTGCAAAAGTATGCTCCAGAGCTGTCAGCTATACTTTCAAAACTATTTAACAAGTGCTTATCACTGTCCTGTTTTCCAGTCTGCTGGAAAGCAGCATCTGTTATCCCTACTTTCAAATATTCTGGAGAGCAATCTAACTCCTCTAAATACTGTCCCATTGGTCTTCCTATCATAATGTTTTTGAATCATTAATTAACAAACACTTAATATCTCATCTTGAATCTAATAACTTACTTTATAATCATCATGGATTCAAATATGGATTTCAATCTTCTCGTTCTACTGCTGGTTTTATCATGCATTAGATAGATGTGGAGAGATAAAGGCTATTACTCTTAACATTTCTAAAGCTTTTAATAAAGTTTGGCGAATGGTCTTTTCCATAAGTTCTCTTCTTAAGGTGTATCAGGTAACATCTTTAAGATTATAGAATCCTACCTTACCAATCGTAGTAACTTTAGGGGTTCTTCAAGATTCTGTCCTTGGCCCTATACCTTTTTTATCTCCCTAAAATCTCACATCAAAAGTGGCATTGTTTCTATACGTATATATTTTTTCATATTTATTACAATCAAAATTTATTGACAAATTTTAAATTTCATTTTTCTGAAATTTTTTTTTGAAATAAAGCACTTTTTTCTTTGCAGGAATATTAAAAGATTAGTCCATTGAACGTTAAAAGACTGGTCCATTGAATGTTAAAAGATTGGGTCATTAAAGATTAAAAGATTATAAAATTTTTTAATTTGTAAAAAATCTTCTGAAATAAAGCACTTAGTGTCTCCAGTACATTTATATTCAAAATAGATAAATAAAAAAAATTCTTTTTTTGTAAAAGAGAGAGCTGGTAGCTCAAAAAAATACAACCTACTCATGAGCTTTCTGTTTATCATGTAAAACACTTCCTGTATTCATATCTGTAACTTTTATAGATTTGTCTTTTGAACATGAGTACAACTCTAAAAACAAAATGTTAAACACATCATTTTATTATGAATAACAAAACATTTAACACATTCTTTGCAGCATTAAAATAAATATAATACAAAAATTAGTAAACAGAGTGGTCTACTGGTATTACGATGAGTATATACTCAGTGGTGCACTTAGATAGGGAGGAGTGTATATCCAATAATATTCTAATTTAAAGCCTGATATTAGACCATTGGCAAGTAATAAAACTTTTTTGTATATAACTATAACTATTCTTTTTTTAAATAGTAAATTATTAGGTCACCATAAAATATTATAACATAACTTAAAAAAACTCCTTTAACAAAATACAAAATATTTTATATTTACATTTTTATTTACTAATTCATTAGTTTCTTATATCATTGATATTTAATTATAATAACTTTGTAAAGCGTCTAAAGAAGCCTAAAAAAACAGTTACATTGTTTATATAAATCAAAAATACCTATAAATAAATAAAAATGCCAAATTTTAATAACACACTGAGTTGCTACTAGTTCACTATTTGATGAACTTTTATTTAAATATGGTAATGATAATACTTTTTAATGAAGATAGTAATAATAAAAAATTATAAGCTTCTGAGAGGAAAGAGAAAAAAAATTATTTAAATTCAGCAAATTTAAAAATAGAAACAATTCCACTTTTGATGTGAGATTTTAGGGAGATAAAAAAGGTATAGGGCCAAGGACAGAATCTTGAAGAACCCCTAAAGTTACTAAGATTGGTAAGGTAGGATTCTATAATCTTGCTTAACCGTGCTCAACTTGTTTCTTTACACAGCAACTTTGTTCATCGAGGCTTATGTTTCATAGTTAAAGAGTTGAGAGTGGGTTGTAATCATAATAAAGTAGCCTCCTTGAATGTAGTGTTCCTCTTTGCCTTGGATGTAGTGTTCCTCTTTGCCTTGGATGTAGTGTTCCTCTTTGCCTTGGATGTAGTGTTCCTCTTTGCCTTGGATGTAGTGTTCCTCTTTGCCTTGGGGACACGAATAACAATAATCAAATAATCAAATTAAAAATTTAATAATCAAATTAAAATATAAAATATCATTTAAATTTAATTTTAACTAAGAATTTATTTTAGCTAATTCTACACTTCATTCTAAAAACCATATTTATTTCAATACCTAATTTTTGTAAATAAAATTTTATTTTTAATAGGTATCAATTTTACCATAATCAAACAAGTTTCATTTACATTTTAGAATCAAATTATAGAATATTTATCTTAAAATCAAAGAGAATGGAATCAGGAGCAAAATAATGACAGCCACAATAAATATAAGAAACTTTAGCAGAAGATGTGCAATCAATTGTATAGGTGGTTTTCATGAGAGGTTAGTAGTAAATGATAATCCAAGATGTAAGGATAAGGTCTCAATGAAAGGGCTGCCATTCATCAATGAATGAACATCAAGGAAACGTACACAGGAATATCAAAGTTAACAGTATTGTAGTAATTGTCGCCAGTAAATAACTGGGTTTTAGCCCCATTTTGTTACATAAGTGAGATCAGATTCAAGACTAGCTGCCTGTTCTAAGCAATCAAAAAGAGAAGACTTTTTTTCAAGACAGGGGTAAAAAGTTGAGTTTTTGGACTTAAGAAACTTAAGAAATTAAGAAATTTTGTGATAACCCTGGACATACATATTGGAACTTATATGTAAAATACATAAGTTCCTATATTTATAGAAATACATATAGGAACTTATATGTAAAATACTCAAGTTTGGACATACATATGCCATTGTATAATTTGTACCAAAAAATTTAACATTTTTTTAATAAATGAAAAGAAATCTTGTCAATTTAATTTAACTTCCATCTCTGATTAATAATTTTAAATTAAATGCTTGTTATACAATATGAATTAATTTAATTTATGGTTATTAAACTAATTTAAGTTATGGATTATCTTTAATACTTTAAATAAAAAGAAGATTTATGAAAAATTCTAGAAACTCACGATTTGTAATAGAACTTGTCAGCAAATTTTAATTTACAACTTTTTTTTCTTTCCAAGAACATTGAAAGATTATAAAATTTTTTAATTTGTAAAAAATGTTCTGAAATAAAGCACTTACTGTCTCCAGTTTTTGAAAATAATACAGATCGACAAGCTTTTTTGTGCTGCTTTAATGTTAACAAAGTTTTATTGCCTTCTGGAGAAATACTATATCTTAAAAAAATTTAAAAAAGATAATTAAATTTTAATATATATGTTTTTAAAAAGCATTCTTAAGTGTAATATAAAACTATAATAATTATATAATATAAAACTAAGTTAAATTACTAAAAATGTAATAAAAGTAATACCCTGCTCACATAGTAAGAGTCCAGGGTCCCAGCCCCAGCCCCGGCTATAATCGAGCTATTTTACAAACACAGCTCTGGCAAAATTATAAGATATAGCAGAGGTTGATAGCCGAGGCTAGGAAAAATTTTTAATACTCTACATATTAGAAATTAATGCATAAATTTACTATTTATTAAATACTCCTCTTTCTCTCTCTCAATATATATATATATATATATATATATATATATATATATATATATATATATATATATATATATATATATATATATATATATATATACATATATATATATATATATATATATATATATATATATATATATATATATATATATATATATATATATATATATATATATATATATATATATATATATATATATATAATATAAATATATACATATTAGGCTCGTCATAATATAATCCATATATATATATATATTTTTTATTTAAAGATATTAATTTTTTTAACTATAGCAATAAAATCAATTACAGCTTAACAAGTTTTAGTAATAAATAAAAATAAATAAATGCAGAAGTGTTTTTTCTAAATATTGTAGAATACTATTTTGTTTCAATTTTTTTTTTTTTTTTTTTTTTTTAATATTAAATTAATAATTAAAATTATTAAATTAGTTTCTTTCTTTTCTTGACATTTGCGTTAATAAAATTTCTTTTCTTGACATTTGTGTTAATAATTTGTGGCTCATTGAAGCAATTTCAAATGCTGGTTGCAAAGAGATCTGCAAAATGCTGGTTGCAAAGAGATTCAATTTGCTATATGTCCTACTGCATTGTAGGATACCCCTTTTTAGGCAAAGGCTAGGAGATGCCATCTCCGACATAAAACACTCCCTGTGTTGGGGCTCTTAATTGAGTAAAGGCTAGAGATATTCATTTTGGGCAGATGTTAAATGCATGCGGCTGCTGTCTTGTAGGAGGCCTCCGAAGAAAAGACTTAAGGGGTAAACTGATTCTATCAGTTGACCAGCCTCGCACCCATTCTACATTTATTAGGGTGGTACAGAAGTATTTTTATTAAATTGTTTCCAGTTTAGGATGTTAAATGCTGAATCTTCTAGACTCAATGCATGGGTATTGCTTATATCTCTGTTTTTATGACTTGGCAACTCATTCTATTATCTCCTAATGAGGGCACAGATCTAAAACTCAGTTTTATGGTTCTGAGGCCGGCTGGTAGTCAGGTTTTCCGAACTCTGTGGTAACTCTCAGAGAAGCTGATTCCATCAATAGCTGAAAAATATCAAAGTATTAACAGTCCCATGTTGCAAATGGATGGTGTCCCTGTTTGTACTTTTGGTGTGCATTGCCAAGGCCATATTGGAGCCCTATGTTACGGCTTAGGGTTTATTATTAGTAATGAGGCAATTGCTTGGGCTAATAAACAGTGTACTGAGTACTATCTATGCATTGAGTCAAGTTCTTTAACAAAGTTAAAAATGAATAAAGTAACAAAAAAAATATAACACAAAACACCATTGCCATCAACACATTTGTCAGGAAACTAGGTTTGAATCCACAGACTATTCTTTTATGTGCTTTCTTTTAACACCACTTCACTCTTTTCGCCTTTCTCTTCGTTCTTCACGTTCTTCGTTCTTCTTTGTTCTATATTGCTCTCCTTTATCTCAAAACTTCTTGATGTTATTTCTGATTATATTGACCTAGCACTCTCTCTTCATCCATCAGCCAAAATTGTTGTTGTCAATGACTTTAATGTTCATCACACTAAATTGGTTGGCTCTAGTGTCAGTGACTCTGTATGCATTAAAGTACACAACTTTTGCCTTTCTCAATCCCTAACTTAAGTAGTCAACTCTCCTACTCGCTTTCCAGACAACCCCAATCATTTACCTTCTCTACTCGACTTATGTCTTGTTTCTGATCCTAGTCAGTGCTCAGTTTATCCACATTCACCCTTAGGTGCCTCTGATCACAGTTTGATCTCTCTAAAACTATTATCTCATTCTTCTTTATCATCAGAATCCTCCTATCATTGTACATATTACAACTATCTTAAAGCTGACTGGGACTCTTTCCGTGATTTTCTTCGTGATGGCCCTTGGGTAGAAATCTTTCATCTTTCTGTTAAAAAATGTGCTTCTTACATAACTTTGTGGATTCAAGCTGGTGATTCCAGGTCAATCCTCACTCATTCCTAATGGTTTTTATCACATTATGCTGCTCCAATTACCAAATCGAAACCATTACTTCCATGTCTATCAGCAAAACAATTCTCCAGAAAACAGATGCCTGTTTATTACTGCTAGGAACCATTGTATAAAGGTTTTGTCTAAGGCCAAAGCCTGCTATTCTCAGGTCATGAAATCTTGTATTTCATCACAAAAATTAGGCTCTTTTGACTTCTGGAGAATCTTTAATAGTATCAATAATAAGGGCAAGTCTGCAATCCACTTCTTTTGCATGGTTCAGACTTTGTCACCTCACCTAAAGATAAAGCTGAATTATTTGCTAAGAACTTTCAATATCATCTCTTAATTCCAATAATCAATATCATCTCTTAATTCCAATAGTTGCATTCTACCTGATATAGCCGTCAAACAGGTTAATCGATTGCTTGACATTCATATCACTCCAGTTTCTGTAAAGTGATTTCCTGCTTAGACTCTTCTACAGCTTGTGGCCCGGACAACACACCTTTATAGTCTTGCAGAAGTATTCTCCGGAGCTGTCACCTATATTTTCAAAACTATTCAACAAGTTCTTATCAGAGTCTTGCTTTCCAGCCTGCTGGAAAGCAGTTATCCCTATTTTGATAAATTCTGAAGAGCGATCTGATCCGTCTAACTACGTCCCATTAGTCTTCTTCCTATCATAAGCAAGGTTTTTGAATTTTTAATTAACAAACACTTAATCTCTCATCTTGAATCTAATAACTTACTTTCAGATCATCAATATGGATTTTAATCTTCTCGTTCTACAGATGATTTGCAGTAAAAACCGATAGGTTTTATCGTGCATTAGATAAAGGTGAAGAGGTTAAGGCCATCGCTCTTGACAATTCTAAAATGTTTGATAAAGTTTGGAATGCTCAATTCTTAGCCCTATACTCTTTTTAATTTACATTAATGATCTTCCAGATATTCTCACATCTAAGGTGGCATTGTTCGCTGATGATACCACCATTTATTCTTGTCATGATAAGAATAACACTCTCTGATTGCTTGGAGGGGGCATTTGAGCTTGAAAAGCTCAAATGCCTCCTCCAAGCAATCAGTTAGTGTTGTACTCAATGAGTCATTTACCCTTGTACCTAATCTACCTAATGTACTCGATGAGTCATCTACCCGTCATCTTCTAATATTAACTCTTATTTCCAAACTTTCTTGGAAACCATATATCAAATCCATTGCAAAATTAGCATCTGCTAAGGTTGCATCTCTTTATGGAGCTCGACGGTTTCTTATTCTGAATTCTATACACTATCTCTATAAATTTCAAATCCGGCCTTGTATGAAATACTGTTGCCATAGCTGGGGCAGATCTTCTAATGATGCCCTTTCTCTTTTAGACAAGGTGCAAAAACGCATTGTAAACATAGTTGGACCTGCTCTTGCAGCCAACCTTCAACCATTATCACATCATTGTAATGTTGCTTCTCTTTCTATTTTCTACAAATACTATAATGGGCACTGCTCTAAAGAGCTAGTATCTCTTGTGCCATCTACTAAAATTCATTCTCGTTGCACTCATCATTCTATTTAAGTCTCATCCTTTTTTTGTTACTGTTCCCAAGTGCTCCAAAAACTCTTATTTGTCTAGTTTTTTTCCTTGAACATCAGTTCTTTGGAATTCCCTTCCTTTATCTTGCTTTCCTGATTCATATAATTTGCAAGCTTTCAAGTCGTCTGTCAATCATTATCTTGCTCTACAACCTTCATCTTTTTTTTTCCAGTAACTTCCAACTCTAATTAGTGGTTGCTTGCAGCCTTGTTAAAAGCGAAGATGTTTAAAAAAAAAAAATTGTATAAATAAATTAAATTATGTTAATATTTAATTCATTTATACAAACATTTATTAAAATATAACTTATCTCAAAGAAAAAAAAATTAAATATTACTTGTTGCAAACAAAAGTGCTGGTAATGTAATTAAATAACTTTGATTCAAAATACTTTCTAAGGAAATTTCTGTTTTCAACTACTATTAAATTATAAGCTATTAGAAAACAAAAGGTTAAAAAACATGGAAATGGTTACTGGAAACTTAAAAAGTTGTATGAGTAAAGAAAACATGAGGATGGCAAGACTTTTGAGATTTTGTTGATGTGCAAGGGAAAAAGTAGATAAATAGAAATTTTTATAGCATAAAAGAACAGATACAGTAAAAGGATGCAACTTTGCTAAATGATAAGTCAAACTAGAATAAATTTTTTTTGAAGGAATTTTAGATTATAGCTCGTTTGAACAGCACCTACAATTTTCAAAAAAAAAAAAGAAAAAAAAAGAGATGCAACCCTATGACGAACTAGGGTGGCTCAAGGTCAGCAAATAGAGCAGATCTAACTATATTTACAATATGCTTTCAGACCTTGTCTGAGAGTGAGAAGGTTCTTATTTGCCAATATAAGAATGTCATGAATGTGATTTTTGTTTGGAGTAAATAACTGAGTTTTTTTGGAGTTGAATCCACAAGCTGCAGCAAGACCCAAACTGTAGATTTAATCTGTAGAATCTGTAGAATCTGTAGAACTGTAGAACTGTTACAAAAAAGTGATCAGAGTGATCACTTTTTTGTAAGTCAAACTTCAGAAAGACAAAAAACGTTTTTAAGGTGGTTCACTTCCTTTAAATATCAAAAATAAATTATTATTTTTTC